TTTTAAGGATTTTATAGGAATGAAGATACTAAATTGGTATTGTAGTAATTTAAGTTTTTAGTAATGAATTTTAAAACGGAAATAATTTAACAAAGTAATAAGTTAGTTGCCTAACATATACCTGTTGGTCCTTTGCAGTGCCAGATGGAGGGATGTCCGTTTCATTGCGATTTAAAATAGTAGTCGTATACAACGCCGGCACTTTTCGTAAAATTCAAGAGAGCCTCTATCTGCAATTTCGAAGTTTCCTAAAGTCCTTTGAACTGCGAAGTTCAGAGATATCTGGGACTAGTTTTAGCTAAGGTCAGTTAGAAACAGTGGTGGTGTTTGAACATTTCATTCAAGGCGAGTTTTTAGAAAGTGAAGTTGCCAAATCATATCAAATGATTACTTTCCTTGAACAAGTGCATTAAAAATAGGTTATAAAATTTCGAATGCTGAAGCGTTTCAAGGCCGAGCTCCTTCTCCAATTTGTAGTTTTACATCTTAATGGGTTTCCCACAAATTAGGGGACCTGTAGTTGTTCTAAACCAGCTTAGAACGATGATGGTGATGAATTTATATGAGAAGCTTTTATTTCATATGAGAAATATACTCGGAGAGCTTGAGATTCTCTGCTGAAGGGCGATCGCAATTAGAAAAATGAATTTTCTATGATTTTGAATGTTGGTCGAGCCAGTACTCAAACCCTGGCCTTTCGATTGGCTATTGCCACCGCTGATTTTGCAAATTGAACACATGAAGTTTTTGTTTTTGTATTCTTACTATTATCTTGGTCTCACTTAAGTCTTCCTTCCTGCTTTTCCTACATGTGTAACTGCTATTTATGCCTACACTGCTTACATGGAATGCGATGGGTTAGTTGTTGCCCTATCCATCAGTCTTTACCTGACGGTATCTGCAAGAAATGTCTGTATCCTCTGCTGGTATTGAATATGATTTTTGTGGTTGCGCATGTCGCTAATGCTTTCCATCTCACATTGAACCGACGTTCAGTTCTTTCGAAAAAGTTATTATAGACCGCTTTGAGCGACTTTTGTACTGTACTCAGCAATGCGGTTGACAATTTTGGCAAACTCATCTCTAAGCCAAGCTAAGCGTACTCTATAGGCAATTTTTCAACCATCCTTTTGGATGTTTTACGTTACACTGTCGGATCGCGTGTGTCAGTGCCAGCCGCCCACCTTAAACATAGGTTGAGACCTTCTTTCCCACATGAAGTGTGGGGTTATGTGGTTATGAAGGTTCTAGTGTGTCAAATTAATATTTTGCATATATTTATTAACTTTTTTAACCATCTGAAATATACATACTTAACTTTTTTATTTATTGTTAAAATATTATTAAAAAATTATATAAAATAAAATTATCTTAAATCAGAATTTTGGCCTAAAAAATTAATATAGAATATTGCCATTTTCTTTTACTTTTCTATATTGTCTAGATATACATACATATATAAGTGTAAAGAATGACAATGAATTGAACCGCCAGTCAATTACTCATTAATTGTTATGCATGGGAATCAAATTTTCTTAATTAATTATTATTATTATTTTTTTTTATCAATTTAAAGAGTTCTTGTCGTGATTGATTGAAATTGGCTGAAAGCTCTGCTTATGAATTACTTAATATACAATATAAATAGAGAGTATGTTTGTATGTATGTAACTATTTTTGTACTGATGGATGCTCGCGTGAATTGCCGCATCACTTTTCAGTGCAGCTGTTGTTAAGTTTCCTGTTTTCAGTTCAAGGTCGCACGTGTGGTTTTTATTCAGTAGTCGTATTTTACGCTTTAACACATTTAGGTACATAAATAAGTACTCGTATGTGGGAATAATTGAAAACACTAGAAGTTGTTTTTTGTAATTTAAAAAAAAAAAACGGGTAGCTTGCTGTCTGCATTCTCCAAACTTTTTGATATCTCCCTTTCTCCACAATACCATACCAAAACATGGTGGCTATAGATAAAGGACAGCGCAAAAAAATCGAATTTATATTTAAATCGTTTGAGTTACAAGAAATTTGGTACAGACATAGCCTGGGGCTTAAATTAGTATGGGGAACATTTTTTCTGTCTGGAGTCGATTCGATGGAACAGTTTTGCTTAACATGTGAATGTGTGGAGAAATTTTCATTGCTCGACTTATCCACAACAAAGTGCCATATTATGGTTCTTTGTGCTTCAAATTTGGAGCATAAAATGCTTCTTGCTTAGACTAATAAGTGGAAAAGTCTTTCTTCTTTCTCATAGGTTTTAACATAATATTTTATAATTATTGATATAAGTATTAAGTAAACAAAAGGCCTGGTTGTTTGTATGAATTGAATATTATTATTATTTAACAAAAAAAAAAAAATGGTAGAAGTAACAGCTGTTTCGGAGATCACCACATCTCTTCATCAGACTTCTTATGGCAGGGATTAAAAAAGGATAGAAAGATCAAAATCTTGAAATACCATAAATACCACAAATACCATAAATAAAATAAATACCAAAATTTAATAAATAAAAATATTTAAAAACTATTTTTTTTGTAAACGTGATGTAAGATTTATTCCTTGTCATAATGGAATTATAATTTACACTCAAAAATATATTCATGTTTTCCACTATTAGTATTACACGTACTCTAATGCAATACCTTGCACAACCTTAATTTTAAAAACTAAATGAATATGCAACTCTCTTATTTATGTATGTATGTATTACATATACATAAGTTTGTTTTTCTCAAATCGATATATAATACTACGGATATATAAGAATATGTAGTTTTTTTTTTCATTAACAACTAAGAAAATGTGTCGAATTAGCATGACGAAAGAACTTCTCCGCTCACTACTTCATACAATACATAACTGTTGTCTAACTTTAATATTACAACACGAGCTCTCCTAATGACAAACTTTCTCATATTTCTCTCAGAATAACCGAAAATTGTTTGCTCATCCTTAGTTGCAGCGATTTGTTTACTTTATTACCACAACAAAATTATAAACAACAAATGAAACTAAAAAAAAAAAAATTATGAGTTTCATAGCAAATTAATGATAAAATATAAAAAAAAGCATAACAACATTAAACTTGAGCGAGGTGAACACAAACAATGACAGTACGAAAATCAATTGCACTTTTGGCAACAAACTAATCAAGCGGCAACAACAACAACATTTGATTTCTTATGACAATTACACAAAAAGAGCAACGCTGTACTTATATATTACCTGTGTTTGTATGTATGGTAAATGTGTGAGTTTGTTTTGTGTCTCCGGACGGCAGCTAAAAATAATAACAAAAAATAAAAAAAATAACAAAAACGAAGCATAACAACAGCAACAGCATTAATTGCGACAATGACGATGGATATGACAGCGATTGCGACGATGCACAGTGGATAATTTCTAGCTAAATTAGGCCAAAAATTAATGAGAGTAGGTTACATGTATATACGGGTTTGTCTGATGGGTGCAAACAATCTGGCTTCAAAAGTTTTTAATGCAGCACCTACTATCTACCTTAAGCTAATTCCACCCTATAGAGAGACCAAATCACGTTTCAGCACTCGTTCTTTTACCGGTCCGCCGTTAAGTTGTACGTCAGCCAACTTTATGGCAGCAAACAAGAATGGTGTCCACTCAACGCGCCTACTATGATCTAGACCGGAAATTCAAAAGAAAAGTCCTTTCAAGAAATTCAAAAGAATTGCTGTCCTATTTTTAAAAATGGCGAGCGTACTCGAATCTACCTGGCTTATATGAGTTATCTAACGATTAAGATGCTCTAACACATATAAAACAGGCCCTCCTAAATTGAATGAGATGAGATGAAATCAGAATTGGTCGATAGAAGAAATCGAAGTGGGCCTCGGATATGCTGATATACTAGCCAAGGATTGCGACTAACAGGACTAACATCCAAAAAGTTATAGAAAATTAATTTTAAATAAAAAATTAGTTCTCCATTAGTATCACACTGATGGGACACTGCTTAATTGGAACTCACGGTAACAGAATGGAGCAGGAAGAGTCTTGACGTTCCAGCACTACGCGAAAACACTTTCTCGGAATATAATATTTCGACAGCCTCGCTGAACTAACCACATCATTTATTAGGCATAGTTCACATATTTGTGGGAACAATAGAATCCTTCCTGTGGTATCGGAATGAGCCACATAATAAGCACTTTGTAACCGCTGCAGCGAGTTCTTGCCGAGTTCTTTCTCCGATTTGTGATATGTGTATTAATGCTTTTCCAAAGCCACCGAACGGCCGACGGATTTTCATGAGGAAATTTTTTTTCGTGCTAGAAATAATCCCGGAGAGCCGAGAGGTCGTGGGGCGACGAAGTTTAGAAATGTTAATTTTCTATAATCTGGATGATAATCGCTCCAGGTCTCGATCCCCGGCCTTCAGACCTTCAGAATAACAGTAGTTTCAAGGTGGTTCACTCAAAATAAATCAAATCTTTTTCGATTCTCGATCACCTGGAAAAGTAATTGTTAACTAACTAGTTTCTTAGATATTGGCTGGGCTCAGCTGAACTGCTGGGACGTAAATTGGGTTTCGATGGCTTCATATGATCGCTTCTTAAGTTAAGTGAAATTTTAATCCCTTTCTACATATTGTTTACTAATTACCCGTAGTCTACCAAAATGCCAAATTTATCCATAAAAATGTGTCGACTAAACTACAGTGCGACGACGACTAGCAAGCCAATCGCCAAGCTAAGCAGCTAACCAACAGCTAGCCAGTTGGCCAGGCTGCTGTTAGCCGATGTTGTGAATGCTGTTAGCCTCGATCTAGCGAATATAAATAAGAAATGCCGCTTGCTGCTCGGATTACTAGTTCAATGTTCTAAACGTAAAGTGCACACGCGATTCGAATTGTGCGGAACCAAATTGAGTTAAACTTAATGCACGCACTAAACTGATAAATAACTTGAACCGTTATTAGTAAAAAAAAAAGTGAAGATCAATGTGAATAATTTTTTTTTTTGGATTTAAAAATTTTAAATGTTACTCAAGTGATTTATTAGCTTGTGACGTAAAAATAATAATTATAATAGTTAAGAAATGTAAATTAAAAACAAAGAAAGGGGAAATAAAGCAAAGTGTTTGTGGAAGTAGTTAAAAACTACTGTTAAAAAAAAATATAATAAATTAAGGCAAACAAATTTTTAATTTTAAAATTTCAATTTTTTCAAAAGCCGTTTTATTTTTTGCTTAAAAACACATTACGGAGCGTATGGACCTCAAACGGAGTCTTTAGCACAACCACTTAGCGCTAAAAGTACACAACTGTTATTTTAATTTATCTCTTAAAACTTCGCACGCCATGCAATCACATCAGGACACTTTTGGCGCTGAGGCGTCCAAACGTTATGGCCATCGGCGCACACCCACTTTGGGCAAAGCAATGCCTGTCACCTCATTGCTCTTGCACTTTCCGCCCCCCACTATGTCCACCATGCGTTCCAGCTGTATGCGCGACGGCCGTACACCTGATGAAGAGCGACCGCCACTCTACTTTCAATTGGAGTCACCTGGCTATGGGCACGAAAATAGATCATCAATGGATAATGAGTCACGAAATCGTAGACATGATGACATACATTCATCGTGCGATGAGCTTAACCTTGAACAGGAATATGATTTACATGTATCGGAGTGTAGTAGTGGCAATGGCGATGGCGGTCGTGAGTCGCCACATAATGAACACCAGGCATCCATTGTGGGTAATTCCGTATTCTATACACCGTGCATGACATGCACGGACAATGCGCCTGGCGATATGGGCACACGCGCCACAGCCATTAATGAAATGTGTCGCCGTCTGTGCACAGATGAGTGTCGTTTGCGTTTGAGTTTGGCCGGTTTTGAGCCACCATCCGCAGTGACCTTGAAATCCCGGGAAGCGCTGTCTGAATATGTGAAAGAGACATGTCTGCAGCAACGATCACAGTTGCAACATACCGGTTCGAAGGATCCGGTATGTGCTGGTGCTGGTGTAGAGGAGCAAAAGATGGGCAGTGTCGATGTGGTCGATAGAGTTGCGGCGGCTGTTGGAAAAGAGGAAGTAACTTTCGCCACAAATTTAGTCACGTCCGCCACAACCGCCAAGACATCTACCACCGCTGCAACAGTACGGCCGCCCTCATGTATTGCCATACAACGTAAGAAGTTTCTCACGGACATTTTAACAACCAGTTCAAATGATACAGACAGTGATTCCAGTTTTGTTGACGAACCAAAGGAGAAGGTAGATGCGATGAATAAACCAAAAAAGTTTGTTAATAATTTACTAGTTGCGCCAGCACGTGAGTTGGTTGATGAAACAGCAGCAACCATCGCAACAGTGAGAATAATGCCAACTACTACCGAAGCCGTACACTCCTCCATTGGTGGTCGCTTGCATCGCAACGACGATGATAAAGGCATGAATGCTTCCAACGCTGATCAGCACGAGATGGATAAGATGAAGGACTTCCGTGAGAAATTCGCGATCGCGGAAGCATTGGCAAAAACTTCAGAAATGACCTCAACAGCACAAATGAAACAACGTCTGGCGGCGCGACAGCTGGAAATTACGAATGCTGCGGCGGTTGCGGCGGCGGCGGCGGTAGCAACGAATAATGTAACGGCGAATAAAGACCGCTTACAAAAACGACAAATAAAGCGAGCAAGACAACGACAGCGGCGACGTGAGGGGGGAGCGCCAAATAAAAGGCGACAACAAATACAACAGCAAGTACAACTCAAAGGTGTGCCGTCGGCCAATAACGCGCCAACTCATGACGCATACACGCATTACAACAACAACAGAAATATCAACATCAATGCGATCGATACGAACGATGTGCAAAGCAATGTTGATAACAACAATGATAAACACAACAACTATCAAGCAAGCGCCGATCGTTATGGTGGCGATACCGAAAATTCGTGTAGCAAAGACGATGAACGCGACGACATTCGCAACGACAACGAGAACGACAATGACAGTGGCAGTGACAGTGAGAGTGACTGTGAATATGGCAGTGACAATGACGATGACTACGATGACGACGACGACGACTACGGTGTTGCTAGCACAGACACGGTGGCTACCATGAAGCAACAGCAACAAACACAACAAGAAAATATTGCTTGTGATTACGAGCCGCCGCGGGACTTGCTTTTATATCTTGTGAGGTAATTACTGTGTAATTTAAGTAACTTATCACATAACCATTTAAAAGGCTGGTCGTCGGTTTGCTACGATAAGTGGCAATTCATCTAGTTAATGCTCGCTTTCTGTGCTCCAAATTGGGGTTTTCCGTTGCGTTGATTCATAACCACAGATAAGGTTTTTAATTTTTAATAAAATAAATCTTCAATGCTCTGTAATATTTTAGGCAAACAAGATATTTTTCGGTAGTAAATAATATACTTTTTTTTTTTTAAAAGAGGAGTACTGAGCAACAAGATTTATTAATGTATTTATTTTTATTACTCTTTGCTATAAGGCTGCATTGGTTTATTTTGGCTACGATGTTAATTTAAGATTCTTATCTACACTTTCTAAATCAAAGCACCTTCTAAGCTGATAACACTCAATAAAGGGTATTTTTTTAATTAAGTTAATTTTTTGAATTGTGTACGCCTCTCGGTAGGAAATGGCAGCCCCTCCGTTTTGTATTTCCAACATCAAATTAAGACTCCTCATAAAAAATCATCAGACGTTCGGATGCGGCTTAGCATAAATTGTATGTTCCTCTATTTTTTCGGGAGAACATCAATAAGCATACCAAGTATTGGAGTAGGATTTTAGCGGCAATTATATATATATACATATGTATTTTATGCTAAAAATCGTACGGCTTGAGTTAAATATTTCAATTGGAAGCGACTTTCAGAGTGTGTTTTTTTACATTAAGACCAGAAAGTTTCAGGAAATTGTAATTTAAACTGCCCGCGCTGAATATTTTTCAGCACATTTTTTTGTTAAGTTGGTAGCACTGTCCTTAATGACCATGCCAAAAATGAGCGCGTTCTGTTAACTTGTTTGCAGCCTTACGGCCTCAATCGAATCGAAACGGATTCCATGCAGTGGTAACTTGAGTTTTGGAAACAAAAAGAAGTCACTCAGACCCGATCCAGTAAATACGGTGGTTGACCGATGGTATTGAACGAGTTTTTAGTCATAAAATCATTCACTACAACAGCTCGGATGGATGGCGTATTATCGTCATAAAAAGTTACGACGGAAAGTTGACCGACTGCCCAGTTGGAACGAAGTCGTTATGAACCAAACCGCGAATATCGAAAAAAAAACAATTTCTGGAAACTTTCTGCGTTCTTAATGTATGAAAATGGGAAACGAACTAGGTTTGATTCTAGATTCGAGCATACCTTATTGTGATTTACTGTACTTTTTTGAATTGAGACATAATATTTGATCCTACGTAAGTTTCAACTAATGCAAAAGTGCAGGCACAGGAGCAGGATTCTTCTGCTAAATAGGCAACCGCTTCAACAGGAAGATCTATACGTTTTTTAGCAACTGTCAAGCAGTAGTTAGCGTAATTAAGTGGGTCCACTCAAAGTCCAAATCCATAAAAACATGAATAGTGAATATAACTTGAACCCCGAGTGCCGAGTTACACGGACGAAGAAAACATAGAAAACAATGAAAAGACGAATGAGCAAGCTAAGGTTGGCGCCGCTTGTTGTCACCATCGACTACCTTAGACTTTCCAGCGCCTTTAAATGTTATCTAAAGTAGTGGACCATGGGGGGACACTTCTAGCGTAGGACTTAAGAGCGTATACCAATAAAACGTCATCTCCACAAGCTAGGTGAAGGAGAAGATGACGAAACCCTGGAGCACTGCCTTTGCAAGTGTCTGACCTTCAGCCGCTTCAGGGGGCACATCTTTCACTCTGCCCTAGATTCAGTTTTTCGGTTGGAAGAATTTAAATAAATCTATTAAATCGAGCGAAATGCTCGGGTAAACACAAGAGCACTAAGAGTCTACTCTATGGCTAAGCTGCGGCTACCAACCAATCAACCAAATATATGTATGTATATAGACACAAAAAGCGTATGTGAGCGTAGGCAGGTAGAAAAATCCATTTTGATTACATTAGATGAGTAGAATGATTTTTTCTAAGTAAATGTAAATATTTGACTTAAAAAAAAACTCTACTTACCTACATATATCCACAAACAAAATGTGATAAAATATGACTTTCATCCTTGAAATCCTCAACTATTTACTTTTCCATGTTCTCCAAAAAGTTCAGCCATTAAATAACTGTCAGTTTCTCACAGACAGTCAAAGTAATCACCGCCATTATATTAACTAGTTTCCTATGGTCTGAAAGACAACCATTAAACATACATCTTTTAGTTTGACGAGTTTTGCGGAAATATTATATTTCGCACATGCCCACATACATATACGAGTATGTTTTGCACAAAGGTCAAAGACCTAATTCAACACAGTTTTTGGCCAAAATATTTCAATTGATTTTTAAGTCTGAAAAATTACTTAAAGAAGCTTAAGTTGACCTTTAGTTATCAAATCTTCATGGTAGTGGCATACAAACGTACATACATATGTATGCATATATGTATATGCTAAAACTTTCAATTAGAATCGCCTTTAGTTCATATACTTAGGTTTACATTATACAGACATACAAAAATGTATGTATTTACTCATAGCTTTTAGACAATCGCAAAAAATATATTTTATAGAGGTCACTGGTTTACAGTAATAATTCAATATTTCTCTAACATCAAGAGCTTTTCAATAAAAGTAATTGGCTACTTATGCCACGAGATCACCTACCTCAGTAGAATACTTCAGTAATTAGAGTAACAATCGAATTAATAAAATGCTTCAGTAAGTATCCGTAAGATAAACTGTAGCGCACGCACAATTGTGCTACACAAGTACGCACTTATACATAAATAAATAATAAATATGTTTGTGTAAAAAAATAAAATAAACGAAGTCTTGAAGTTCAAGGTAAACTGAAATAAAACATTCGCAGTTTACTTCTACATACATACATACACATGTACATATTTCGCTTGTGGTTTGTTTATAAACAATATTTAGGTACATAAAGGCAAGTACATATTTGCAATATTTACTTATGCGTTTATATTTGTGCAAATATTTTAGATTGATTATGACAAGTGGTTTAATGAGCGGCAATAATAGGTTAATTATGGCAAGGCTGTTGTTTGAGAAAATTACATAAACATTTAGACACATCTGATGTTAGTTTAGATGCAAGAGCTTTTTACAAAATATAAAAAAAAAATTATTAACTAAAAAAAAATAAATAAAAATTAAATTAAATAAAGCCAAGTAAAGTAAAAAATTAAATTGAATAAAATAAAATAAAGTTTAATAGTTTAAATTGAAATAAAAAACTGAAGAAAATAAACCAATATAATTTGAAAAAATTAACTTAAAATAAAATAAAGGAAAATAGAATACAAAAAAAAATAATTATAATCAAAATTAAATTCAAATATAACAAAAAGAAATGAAATAAATTAAAAACTTTATGAAAAATTGAAGAAATGAAATAAAATAAAATAAAATTAAATAAAATAAAGTAAAATAAAATAAAATAAAATAAAATAAAATAAAATAAAATAAAATAAAATAAAATAAAATAAAACAAATGAAATAAGTTAACATGGAATAAAATATAAAACAAAATACCACAAATAAAATTTATTAAATGAAATTAAAAACAAAATAAACTAAAAATAAAAAGAAAGATATAAAATAATAATAATGGAGCAAAAAAATTTATTTAATAAATTGAAATAAAGAAACATAAAATGAGATAAGATAAAACAAAATAAGACACAACGAAATAAAATAAAAACCTAACAAATTTAATTTAAATAGAATAAAGAACATAAAATAAATAAAAAAAAAAAACAAAATAAAAATATTAAAAAATGAAAAAAAAAATTAAAATAAAATTAAATTAAAGCAAATAAAAAAATCAAATAAAATAAAGAAAAAATATATAAAACAAAGTCAAATGAATAAAATTAAATTAATTAGAAAACAATAAAAACCAAAGTCAAAAATTATTATTATTCAAATTAGAAATGTTAAAATAGAAAGATAAAAATTAAATAATATTAAAAGGAATAAAACAAAGAAAAATATAGTAAATTATTATTATATAACATAATATCATAAAATAAAATAAAGTATTATAAAAAAAAAATTGTTAAAGTAAAATAAAAAATAAAAGAAGACAAAATTAAATAAAGAATCATAAAATATTATAAAATAAAAAACAAATAAAAAATATAAGGTGAAATGGAAAAAATATTGAATTAAACAAATAAATTAAATAAAATAAAAAAATTTAATTAATAGTATAAAATAAAATAAAATAGAATCAAGAATATGAAATAAAAAAAAAATTGAGTAAAGAATATAGAGTAAAAAAATGAACAAAGAATATAATTTAATATAATTAAATTAAATTAATAAAACAAATATAAAAAAATAAATAAATAAATTCAACCGAAACAAAATAAAGGAATGTAAAATAAATTAAAATTAAATTAAATAGAAAAAAATTTGTAAAACAATGTCAAATAATATAAAATTAAATTAATTAGAAAAAACAAAATCAATTAAAATTAATTAATGTTAAATTAGAAAGAAAGAAAACTAAATAATATTAAGAGGAATAACACAAAGAAAAATAAAGAAATTTAGAATAAAAAAAATATATTATCATATAATATAATATCATAAAATAAAATATATATATATTTAAAGAAACATGTGAAATAAAAAAAATATAAAAAAGATAAGATAAAATAAAATAAGAAAAACTTTTGTTCACAAAATTGCTATTCCATAACTTTTGAAATATGTAATTCTTGTTAAAAACTTTATATTTTGCCTTTATATACACTTATTTGAAATTATTGATCACAGGACTAGTGTCTGTTGTTCTTTAATGTAAATGCTCTAAAAATAACACGTTGTACATCGTCAGGAAACGTTCAGCCTGTGGCTTAGAATAAACTGTAGCTCCACAATTTGTTAAAAAAATTAATACGTATTGGAAAACCTCAATATGCGCACTTTCAACCGATTATAGTATTATATACAATATACGAGTATATGTAATATTTACGGTTGAGAGTAT